ACAGTCACCCACCCACAGTTTCTGGCCTTGGTCAGTGCAGCCCCTAGAGTTCTAGAAGTTCCTCTGCAGAGTTTACCTCCCAGCCTGGGTGGAAGTGGGGACGGGGAGGTATGGGGGGCATCTTACATGCTCCGCTGCTCGGGTTGACAGTCGATTGCCATGCCTCTCTGTGGACTTCTGCCGCAGTCTTCTCTGCCAGCCCCGTCTCTCTGCGAGCTCACCAAGCCTCTCCTCTATCCGCTCCTCTCCTCCAGCCGCCCTGCTATCCACTCCGTTTGCCATGCCTCTCCGCTAGCTGCTCACCAACTTGTCTTCAGCCCCCCGCTTCTTAACACAGCTCTCAGCTCTTTAGTGATTTCAGCTGATAGTAGGAGAGGCCCACGGCCAGCACAACACTAACCCAAAGTAAATCATCTAACACTTAAATGCAGGTATCAGTGATTTCAGCTCTGTAGCATATAACAAGATTCCTAAGGAAATCAAAATTAGCTCTGTTATTGCACACTGGAGATCAGAAGAGTAACAATGATGTTCAGGAAACCCACCCTTTAATTGACAGGGGTTTGGAACCCATGTCCCTTGCCTAGTGAGTGCTACTTAGGTGAGGGCGAGTCCCTCCTTCATAAAATGCCAAGGACAGTTCGTCACATAACCAGGATAACATCCCTTTATTACTCCTGCCCAGTAGCAAAGAGACTGGGGATCCCACAGCAGCCAAAGTGACCATTTGGGGAAGCAATCCAACATGCTAGGCAGGGTGGGTGTGCCCATGCAAACAAGATCAGCCCCTGAAGTCCTTTTCCACAGCTCACCACCAGATGTCAGGGCTCTGCTTACAAATATAAACAACTAACACAAGTATGTAGGGACAAAATTAGAAAAGCCAAGGCACAAAATGAGATCAAGCTAGCTCGGGACATGGAAGCAAGAGGAAGACCAAGGACAGAGGAGGCCTGTTACTCAATGAGGGGGGGAAAGACAATAACAGAAAATGTGGAAATGGCAGAGGTGCTTAATGACTTCTTTGTTTAGGTTCTCACCAAGAAGGTTGGTGGCGATTGGACGTCTCACAGTGAATGCCAGTGAAAATGAGGTAGGATCAGAGTCTAAACAAGGGAAAGAACAAGTCAAAAATTACTTAGACAAGTTAGGGCTTGTCTACACTTACATTTTATAGCGCTCTAACTTGCTGGCTCAGGGGGGTGAAAATCACTTTGAGCACTTTAAAGTGCTAGTGTGAACAGGCTCCGAGTGCTGGGAGCCGCGCTCGGAGCTATTCCCCTCGTGGAGGTGGGCCCAAGGTGTTTCCTGCCAGCAGACTCTGCCCTGGGACTGCTTTGGGTTGGGCATTGTAGCCCACTGACCCACAGGCATCTTCTCCCAGCACTAATGGCAACTCTGCCTCTACAGCCCAGGAGATCTGACATTTTCCAGAGATCCACAACGTACAACACAACTTGCTTCCCTTTTGTGGCGCCCCGGGGCAGCTATTGGCAGAGGGAGGCCTGGCAGTGGAGGGCCAGTGGAGTCACCCTGCCAGGGAGCTGGAGAGAGCTGCGGAGGGCCCCAGAGCTGGTGCAGCGGTACAGAGCTTTCCAGCTGCTGGCCCTGGCTTCTGGTGGACACTGCGAACTCCACAATAGCTGGGGCCAGACCCACTGCTGCTTCTATGGGGGGCAAAGGCCACTCTTTCCTCTGCCCCCGACAGAAGAATTTAGAGGCAATTCCCTGGGCCCCCCATAGGAGTTTACGTCAGGAGGTTTCGATCTGGCCCATTGGGGCTGTTTCTCTTGGCAAGTCCCAGGCAGGCTGTGCAGAGTCTGGGGCCGGATGTGGGGTGGATGTCCATGGCTGAAGGGTGGGGAGTCAGTTTTTGGAAAGTGATGAAACTTGTGTAAGGGGGACTGTTGTTCCCTTACTAACATCCCATGGAGTGTTTTGGTTGCTAGCTCCCAGCACTAACAGGGGAAGGGTCCATGGGAAATCAGGACCCTGAGACTGACAGTCCCCAGGACCAATGGGGAGAGGCCAACGCTCAGGTCAGTGTGATTGACAGGGCGGGCAGGCTAATCAGGGAGTCAGGAGGCCGGGGAGGTCCCCTCCTCCATGTCCTGGAATTGTCTGGGTCAGACAGCGTGGGGCTGAGCTAAGGGGAGAGCAGGGGCCCAAGCTGAGCTGGGAGCAGAGCCTGCCCAGCCCAGAGCCAGAGGGGCCGGAAAAGCCGCCCGGGGGAGCAGACCCTGTGCTGGGAGCAGAGCTGAGGCAGAGGGGATGGAGCTAGGGTGACCAGCTGTCCCGATTTTATAGGGACAGTCTTGATATTTGGGGCGTTTTCTTATATAGGCTCCTATTACCCCCCCACCCCCTGTCCCAGGTTTTCACACTTACTGTCTGGTCGCCCTAGCTGGAGCTGAGGCAGGGTGGAGCTGGAGCTGGGGCTGGAGCAGTCCGGAGCCGGGCGCGGGGAGCAGCTGGGGAGAGCGAGGGGGATCCTGGGCAGCGGGCCCGGTGCCGGGAGATGCCCCCAGCCAAGAGGGGGATTGTAACCCCGCCAGGGCGGGGGCAACGCTGGGAAGAAGGGTCCTGCCACCCAGAGCCTGAGGGCATGTGGCCACCGCCAGAGCAAGTGTCCGACCCGCAGCATCCCTGCAGCACAGCCAGGGCCGAAGAAGGAGGCCGGGGACCTGCAAGGAACAGACTGTGAACTACCCTGACATCCAGAGACACTGTTTGTGATGTTCCCTGCCACAGAGCAGGGTGACGTGTTTCCTTTAACCTTTCCCATTTTTCCTTATTCTTGTTAAACTAATTGCTGATTAAATAACTTGTATTTGCTTTAAATCGTATGTAATGGTCAGTGGATCAGGGAAATGTCCAGTGCAGAGAGAGCGCCCCGGAGTGGGGACCCCCTAGCCCCTGTCCTAGGTGACCACAGCAGGGTTGGGGGTCGAGCCCCCCAGGAATCCTGGGCCCAGCCTTGTCGGGGTTAGGAGGACTCTGCCCCACAGGAGAGTGCAAGGAGAGTCCTCGAGGGCAGGGAGGCCTCTGGGTAAAGGGAGTGGGAGCGAGGACTCAGATCCTTTCGCTAGCCCACTTCACCGGGGTAGTGCATACGCCAGGAAAGTTCCCCACAATAGCGGGACCATTCCCCCGCTTACACTTGCACTATGGCTGCAAAACCCGAAGCTCTTGTGTCACACCCTTCGCGATTACTCTTCAGAGAGTCATCCAGTTCCGAGAACACTCGGCAGCTGAGGGCTGCACCCCGTGCATTTCTCTTCCCCTTTTTCTTTATCTGTGAGCACCGGGCATTTGCACGAGGGCAGCAACTATGTCTTTTTGAGAGCTCGTGGACTTGAACTGCTTATTCCCCCTGGAGCAGTTGGTCTCGGAGCTCAGAATATTGCTGGGAATGGGAGTCCGCATGGGCTGGCCCTGCCCAGCCAGGGCCCTGGGCACACACTGCAGTGGCCACACCCTGGCTGCAGGGTGTCAATATGCGCTGCAGTCACACCTGCCGATCGCAGTGTAGACCTAGCCTGAGCATAGGTCTACACTGCCATTAAACCCCCGCGGCCGGCCCGACTCAGCCCACTCAGGCTCACGGTGCTCTGGGGACGGGGGGTGGGTAACAGGGTGGGGAAATTGCAGTGTAGATGTTCTGGGACTCTCCCCTATCACGGGGTCCCGGAGCTCAGTCTCTAGCGCTGGCCTGAATGTCCACACTGCCATTGAATAGCTTTGTAGCCCGAGCCCCGTGACCTGCATCGGCTGACATGGGCCAGGTGTGGGGGTTTAATTGCAGTGCAGACCGAAGTGAGCGGCCCAGGTCGCATGGGGAGGGAGAGCTGTTCATTGAACCTAGATCTCCTGACTCCCGTCTAGTGCTTTAAGGACAAGACCGGCCTTCCCCTGGCTATGGCTCTGGACGGGATTCCTTCATTCCAGAGCCCGGTAACTGCTGTTATCCAGCCTCCCCTGGCATTGCTGCCCAGGTCCCCGTGTCTGTGCCCCACAGAGACAAACCCCCAGCTCGTTCCATCCTGCTCAGCCTGGTCCTCAGCCCAGAGCTGGTAGCACCGTCCCTCGGGGAACACAACAGTTCTAGCTTGAATCCACTCCAGCATCGCCCTCCTCTGGGCTTCCTGATACTCGTGCCCCAGTCCTGATCCCTGACCTGGAGGGTCCCTCCCCTTTCTAGGGTCACACTGGAAATCCAGGAGAGTCAGAGCCCCGAGTAAATCTCCCCTCGGTTAAACGTACAGCGTGAGATGACTGCTCCCCGACACCCCCAGCTCAGGGCGTGCTGGGGGCTGACATGGAGCGTACTAGAGCAGTTTGCCCCTGGGGGGGCTCCTCCCTGGGCCGGGTTAATGCTAAGGGACGGGTCATTGACTGACTCTGCTCATTCACCTGTTGGATTCTTTCCTTTTGTAGCCCTTGGTCTATTTCCCAGTTTTCTCGCACCATCACCTCCTGCCAACTTCTCTGTCTGCAGCCTCTGACCCTGCAGTCCAGGAAACGAGTCCCTAGATGGTGGAGCTGCAGTGGAGCCCAGGCTTAACAAAGTGAAGGTTAAGGGGTGCCCTGGTTACAGTCTAGAAGGTGGAAGCAGGAAATGTCACTAACACAGTCTACTTCCTTCTGCATTAGGGGAAGATCTGATCCTGAACCTCAAACTTCTCAGTATCTCTTTGGACAACGGAGAGCTGGCAAAGGCTGCGGTGTGGGAAGGTCGCCCTCTGACAACAAAATGTCTCCGTCGACCCCTGTGTCTGGATTGTCTCTTCCATGGTTGGTGCTGCTGCTTCTCCTGGAGATCCCTGGTGAGTGTAGAACATAGACACTGCCGACGCGGGCACAAGCCGTCTAGTCTGCTTTCTTGCTGCTTGAACAGGGGGAAATTCCAGCTGCTCTAAAGGGAGGAATAAACCTTTGTGTATTTTATATCCCAGAGGAAACCTTCCTGACCCCAGCTTGTGATCAGCCTATACTCTGGAATGTGAGAACTGTTCACAGCGTTTAAAATGATCCCAGCTGGTGTCACTGCAGGGGCTGTTCTTATTTTTATAAACGTCTGATCTTTTTATAGAAATCTTACTGAGCAATTAGATTCAACAGTATCCTGCAGCAGTGAATTCCACGGGTTAGTTAGATGTGGGTTAAAAATATTTCTTTTTATCCCTTGAAATCGTGTTGGCTTCAGATTCCATCGGGTGGGTGCCCTTCACTCTTCCCGTTATGGAAAAGGGCAAATAGCAGAACCCAACATCCTTTCCCGTCCCTTGGCTGTTCGTTGTTGGAGCCACCTCTCATCTCTGTTACCCTTCTCCTTGCCCGTTAACAATTAGCCCTGGTCTGTATCACCCCTGCTATCCAGAGTGCTTCCCACCCCGCACTCCCGATGCCTGTGTACTGTTGGTTGGACCTATGGACCTTTCCTCTTTCAGAACTGTTTCTATGTTTAGAAAAAAATACACTTTCCATTAACACTAGGGCTGTCGAGTGATTTAAAAAATTAATCACGATTAATTGCTCAATTTAAAAAAATTAATTGCAATTAATCACGCTGTTAAATAATAAAAGAATAACATTTATTTAAATATTTTGGATGTTTTCTACATTTTCAAATATATTGATTTCAATTACAACACAGAATACAAAGTATAAGGTGCTCACTGTATATTTATTTTTGTTTACAAATATTTGCACTGTAAAAAACAAATGAAATAGTATTTTTCAATTCGTGCAATACAAGTACTGTAATACAATCTCTTTATCATGCAAGATTAATTTACAAATGTAAAATTATGTACAAAAAATAACTGCATTCAAAAATAAAACAGTGTAAATCTTTAGAGCTTACAAGCGCACTCAGTCCTACCTCTTGTTCAGCCAATCGCTAAGACAAACAAGTTTGGTTACAATTTGCAGGAGATACTGCTGCCCTCTTCTTGTTTACAATCTCACCTGAAAATGAGAACAGGTGTTCGCATGGCACTGTTGTAGCCGGCGCCGCAAGATATTTACGTGCCAGAAGCACTAAAGATTCATATGTCCCTTCATGCTTCAGCCACCATTCCAGAGGACGTACTGCTCGATAACGATCCAGAGCAGTGCGGACTGACGCATGTTCATTTTCATCATCTGAGTCAGATGCCACCAGCAGAAGGTTGAGTTTCTTTTTTGGTGGTTCGGGTTCTGTAGTTTCCACATTGGAGTGTTGCTCATTCTGAAAGCATGTTCCACACCTCGTCTCTCTCAGATTTTGGACGGCATGTGTTCAGAGTCTTAAACCTTGGGTCGAGTGCTGTAGCTATTTTTAGAAATCTCACATTGGTACCTTCTTTGCATTTTGTCAAATCTGCTGTGACAGTGTTCTTAAAATGAATGTGTGCTGGGTCATCATCGGACATTGCTATAACATGAAATGCGGGTAAAACAGAACAGGAGACATACATTTCTCCCCCAAGGAGTTCAGTCATTAATTTAATTAACATTTAATTTTTTTTAACGAGCATCATCAGCATAGAAGCATGTCCTCTCGAATGGTGGCCGAAGCATGAAGGGGCATACGAATGTTTAGCATATCTGGCACGTAGATACCTTGCAATGCCAGCTACAAAAGTGCCATGCAAATGCCTGTTCTCACTTCCAAGTGACATTCTAAACAAGAAGCGGGCAGCATTATCTCCCGTAAATGTAAACAAATGTGTTTGTCTTAGCGATTGACTGAACAAGAAGTAGGACTGAGTGGCCTTGTAGCCTCTAAAATTTTACATTGTTTTGTTTTTGAGTGCAGTTATGTAACAAATAATCTACATTTGTAAGTTGTGCTTTCACGATAGAGAGATTTCACTACAGTACTTGTATGAGGTGAATTGAAATATACTCTTTCTTTTGTTGATCATTTTTACAGTGCAAATATTTGTAATACAAATAATAATGTGATGAGCACTGTCTACTTTATATTCTCTGTTGTAATAGAAATCAATATATTTGAAAATGTGGGAAAATATCCAAAATATTTAATAAATTTCAATTGGTATACTGTTGTTTAATTGCGACTAATTTTTCTGAGTTAATCGCGTGAGTTAATTGCGATTAATCGACAGCCCTAATTAACACTATTACACTGTGTCCTATTTCTGTATAAGGACCTGGATCAGTGCAGGCCGACCTGTCCCCGCCCAGCGTCCCATCGCAGGGAAAGGGGCTCGGTGCAGGGGGCTGCCTTACTGGGGCCTGGGACCTTACTGTCCTGCCCCACGTTCTTTTGCCTTATTTTTTTCTTTTTGCAGCCCGTGTGCGTTGAGAAACTGTCCTCGCTGAGCTGCACACGGTGCTGCCTCGGTCTTTGCCCTGAGCAGGTATAAGGGATTCAGAACCCATCAGCAGCACGGCTCCTGCACCCCCCCATTACCCCCCCCCATTATGAGTTATCAGTATAATGTCATGCTGCCACCTGGCTGTACAACTGCTCCTGTGGATCATTAACAAATCTACAGCCACCATCCATCCCAATCTCAGCCCTGAGCTCCCGCTATGAACTCCTTCCATGCTGAGAACTCCTCCTTTGTTCCCCCCACCTCAGCACTTCAGGCCTCAGCTGATAGGCGGCTCCTTGGCTGGGGAGCGTCTCATGTGTGCAGGACCTTGCTGCAGAGCTCCCCATGGTCAGCCGGCGCTGGGAAGCTGCCATGTCTGTGTGGGGCCATCCAGGGGCAAAATAACCCTCTGTTCATTAGCAGTCAGTGACACACCCAGAAGCTCCTTCTCTGTGGCTGGAGCAGCGCAGCAGCTGGGCTCAGGGCCCTTGTCCCTGCTCGTGCCCATGAGGTTCTGTCCCTGCCCCGGCTCCTCTGCTCACGCTCAGCACAACAGCTCCCTGGTCCCTGCCTGCTCCCGGGAGCCGGGGTGGAGCTCTGGAAACGCGGCTCCGGGGCAGCCTGCAGGGGTCGCTGTGGAACGACACAAAGTTACTCCCCGGGCAGCTAAAGCCCCACCCCGGGCAGGGCCCGGCTCTAGGCAGGGCTGGGAGCAGGATCCACACAGCGGTGCCAGGCGTGGGACTGAACCCCCTGCTGCTGCGGGACTGGGGCTTGTCA